TTTTTTCATGTTTCAGAAAGACTGCTCTTGAGAGGGATCAGCACTGCTTTCAGCAATTGCTCACTGTTCCATTCCACCAACGAGACTGAAGGTACCATTCAATTCCGTGAATGTTCATCTTCAAACTTGATGATATCGCCCTTTTCTTCGTTTAGTTCCAAAATAGTTGCCAGATTTTTTGTAGGTGTTGACTCCAAAAGTGCCATCTTTGACCGCTTTCTCGTAGGATTCAGCAATTTCATCCGCATAACGTGTTTTCATCTGCTCGATCGCTTTACACCATTCAAGAGCTCTCGATTCGGGATCAAACAGATAGTAGATTCGTTTTGGGGTATAAACCCAAAATGCCCGAAAATTCTTGGCTTCTGCTCGCATGCAAGGTGACCACGGTACTTCTCCTTTGAGCTCCATAGTATTGGGGTCAACATAGAAGAGATGAGGGCCTTCAGTAAGCAGGAACATTCGTCTTCTAGCAAAGAGTCCTTTTTTCTTATCGATAAAGCCGGATCGGACAATTAGGTTATCTTGGACAAATGGATGGTAGGGATTCTCCTTTCTTTGTTTCTCAAGCTTTCTGTTACGAGAAGAAAAAGGTCTGTCAAAGTTCATGTCATCCGGAGTTTGGACAATGCTTCCAGAGGCTTCGCTGTCCAGATATGGCTGCCCTGATAAGTCTAGGCCCAACAATGATGGGTTCATCAAACGGTTGAGGGCCTTCTCGTCCAGTCCTGGTTCCGGGAGTACTCCCGCATTCATCATGACTTCCTCAAAATTTTTGGACATAGGCGGTAAAATATCTGGAGGCGCTGTATTCGCAATATTAATCCAGTCAGTATCTTCAAAAAAAGTGTGCGACTTCAAATTGCTAAGATTTCCAGTCCCCAAACGCATCGATGGATCCAGCACAAGAAGCTTCTCCACAAAATCTCTGACCACATCCGGGAAATCAGTCGGAAAGGATAAATCCAGTTTTTGGATCTTATTCATCAGATGGAAATCATTGATAGCACGGAATGGTGCTTGTCCAGAGATCAACTGGTAAACTATCGCACCTAGTGCCCAGTAATCGCATGGTGGTCCCACCTCTTCACCTCTCAGCATTTCGGGGCTCACATACTGAGCTGTGCCGACAAACGTAGCGCGACGGGGCCGATTTGAGCTTTTAGGTCCGTCTTCTTCTGACTCTGATGAGCTGTCACTAGTAGATGCGGTTAGAGCTTCAACAACGTTCCTTTCTGGTTCAGGTCTCCTCACTTGCGACGATAACTCAACCTCTTCTTCGTAGTGGACAAATAATTTCTCGTCATAGATTTGCGCGCTGCCAAAATCGGTAAGCATTATATGTCCGCTCCTTCTCATAAGGACATTCTCCGGTTTCAAATCGCGATGTACAACTCCATGGCTGTGAATGAACTCAAGTGCTACCACAATTTCAGCCGCGTAGAATCGTGCCGAGGGAATGTCAAAAACTCCAAGACGATTCAGTGCATCCAGTAAATCACCACGCTCGGCCACATCAGTGACGAAGTATAATCGTTGTGAGTCATGGAAAGTACAATAAAGTTGAATCACAAATGGATGTCCACCTTGTTCGTACGATAACGATGCCAAGATATTCTTCTCGCGAATCATGGCAGCCAGTTTCTGGTGCCGATTGACGAAATCCTTTTCCACAACTTTGGCGGCGTTCATTTGTCCACAATCGAGTTCACGCACGAGATAAACTGTGCTGTAGGCACCTTCGCCAAGAATTCGCAGGAACACGAAGTCCTCAGGTTTCTTCGGCATCCGTGGCAGTTTAGTTCCTTTCTTCCGCACTCTTGGTAATAACTTCTTGTTTTCATCCTTCTCCAGCAAAGTACATGAGAATGTTGACAGCCCATTTGATCCCTCTGGATGCTGTGCAGCGGCCATCCAGCCTTCAAAAAGTTGAGTAAGTAGTTGCTTAAAATTAGGGCGTCTAGAGTTCCCTGTGCCAGCACCGTTCCAATGTCAGTGTCAGCTGGCGCGCGTCCCATCGCAAATTGATCAATACGGGGCGCGCGCATGAAATTCGGCATGGCGCTCATGCACCCTCTCAGTATTGATCAGTTGACGTTCTGGCACGCGACTCTTTACTGTGCTGGAATGGCGCTATCATCTGGGCCTCTCTTGACGCTGTTTCAGATATGGTTTCATTTTTGTCCGACACAGCACCCGAAAACGGAAATCAATCCTATAGACTCAGGCATGTACAAAGAATTTATCATAAGGCACTCGAATCGCGGTATTTGGCAATAAATATCAACTTTTCAATTACTCAAATAAGAATGACAAAAATGCAAAAAACGCATGAATGCATGAGGAATCGCATTGGAGAGAATGTAGGCACGTAAGAAGTGATGCAAATAAATAGGTGACAACACTGGGCATTGTTATCGTTTAAGACCGCTTAAATACTGGATGCTGGGTAATCGGCAGACAAACTTCGTTTTGCATAATGCGTTGTATACCAGAAAGTAGGGCGGAATATGATAGGAGATGAAAAGAAAATTGCTTTAACATCAGCACCGACGGGAAGCAAGTTCACATCTATATCACAACTCGAATGGAAATTATATCAAGCACAGTTGAATAATAGCACTATAAGAGCAAGAAAGAAAAAAGGGAAGAATCAGCGATGAATAGATTAGAAAATCAATAGAAAAAAGAGAACTTCAGAACACGTAGAATCAAGATACTATTATAAAAAAACATATAGTAGGTACACATCTTCGCGCGCCTCAATCGAAAAAGAAATCTATGCAAAGTTTTTTGAACTGGTTGGTTAGTTGCCTAATTTGATGGATAAAAATAGAAGAAGGAAGGAAGTAGATTAAACTAGCAGATAAAAAAACAGAAAAAATGAGGAACTCAATAAGGTAACTAGGTAATTACATTATTATACACTTCTGCTTTCCTTTCTTTTTCCTCGATTTTGTTCGGTTTGGCGACACACTGTTGCTATTCTGAAGAAGAACAATTAAAGTGCGGAAAATCAAACAGCAAAGTTCTAAGGAGAAAAAGTCTGCCAAATATGCATTACCAACCTCTTCGTCATCCTCATCAGACGGAAAACTCTTCACAATCCGTACTAATTCATGAAATGCATTGTCTACATTGACTGGTGGGTCCTGCAACAGGTTTTTTCGAAAAGAACTTTTACCTTTTTGAAAATGTAAGTTCAACCTTGGCAGATGTTTCGATGTAGGGTAGCTTAAGGCTGGCAGCCACATTGCGCCCTTCGGCTTCGGTCACTACCCGTTGATTGGTGAGATCAATCTAGAAGATCAAAATAATTTGAAAGCAAACTGAGACAGCGTCCAGAGATGCCCGTGTAGCAGCACTGTGCCAGCGCTCCAGCGCCGTGCTAGCGCCGTGCCGGACAAAGCTCTCCGCGTTAATCGACTGACGGCCATATGCAGCGCTAGCAGAGCGCCGAATGGGCAAATCTGGACGCAAACTTATAACAGCTATTTTCCTTTACTAGAAATCAAGCACCTCATGCAAGGTCAAAATCACGGAAATACAAAAGAACAGAAAAGTGAGCTAACAATCAAAATATCCAAATCAAAAGGAAACATTATCGATTCGACCGCCCCTCCACTCACCTTATTAGCGACGAGTAAAACTGGATATTCTGTCCTATCTTTCACGCGCAGCACCTGCCTGTACAATTTCACAGCCTCGTCAAGGCTTTTTCGCTCCGTAACCGAATAGACTAACAAAAACCCTCGACCGTTCCGCATATACTGCTCTCGCATTGCTGAGAACTCCTCCTGACCGGCTGTGTCCAACACTGAGAAAGACTGTATTCATATAAAAGAACATGGTAAACATATAACAAATCACCCACCATCCATGATTACCCAGTTTCCATCAACTTCACAATGTTGAATATACTGATCTTCAATTGTTGGATCATAGTAGTCCAAAAATTGCTTCTGGAGAATTACAAATTTTTTGGGATATTCATAACTTTTGCCTTTAACTCTGAACAGGCGATAATGTCACTTCTCTGAACAACGAGAAAGGGGCACAATATGGGAACAGAAAATTAGAAAAGAAAAACCTGAGAAACTGCTCTTGGAAAGATCTCCAATTTTTGAAAATTCGCAACTCTCACATCCCACTTTGGCATTCTGGGCTATACTGCCATACACCAGAACAATAAGAAAATGACACATCAACAAAGAAGAAAAGTTGGAAAACAAAACCGACCGAATTCTCAGAAACGACAAAACTTTGCAGAAAACTAAGATTACGCACAATTGCACAATCTGCTACTTTTTAGGGTTCATCCGGGACATCTGTTTACAATAAAAATCTGGCCCCATTTCGAAATTTTCAAGAGACTGGTTTTTAGTCAGAATTGCTACAATTGAGCGTACTCCCCTTAGCATTACGATAAATATCATGGAATTCATCAAATTTGCAATTTAGCCATCTGCTAGGACTGTTCAGATAAGCATTATCATCCGAACGGTGTACACCAGCATCGAAAAAGGGTTGAAGGGAAAAAACTAAATGTAAATCATGAAGGAACAGATAAGTCCGCTTTTTGACAGGGAAAATCGATGAATGCACCCTCGCGCCGTCAAGAATCTTGC